CAGTCTGCAGCATCCCTTCCAGTAACCATGGGACAAGGAATGGAAACTCAAGTTGATAATGAGAGACTCAACAAAGTGACACAAGAATGAGAGAAGTTAGAGCAAAGCAACCTGTTGAAGGCAAATGCCCCCTTAGGAACCCCCTTCCTGCCCCATGACCTGGGGGCTAGAAGGGTCTTAGCTGCCAGCAACCTGCCAAAGCTTCTCCCCTACAAGTTTGGTCCCTGGGCTGGGAGCATGGGCTGTCCCTCCAGAGGCCAGCAGCATCTCCTGAAGTCAGGAGGCCATGTTCCTTCCCACATTACCACATGAATAGGGCTGGGGGAGCAAGCCCCCACTGTCCACTCAAGCAAACAATTTGGCTAGCAAATTGACATAATTACAAGGGACAGAGAGAAAAGAAAGGAGTGCCCCCTCCTCTGCGCTCCAGAGGGCCCGACCCCTGCCGAGTTACTTAGACCCTTTGTGAGACTCAATGCTAGGTACTGATTAGAAAACGTATGCCCTTTTCAAGCGCTCTAAGTGATTGGCTGCCTTAATCTGATTACAATTTACAGAGCTCCTTAAGAAGGGTCTGAAGAGCCTTTCACATACGTGCATGGACACACTCAGACCAACATGCACACACACACAGACACATGGCAGCTGACACACACATGGGCACCACAACTGATGTGTGTGTATGCACACACACAGGGAGTAACAATGCATGCATGACTGAGGCATGCACACTCATATGCACAGTGATTCCCACACCCTGGGAATGACATGTGCACACATCATGACTGACACATGCACACAGAGATAAAGCAAAGATGGATGCGCCTGTGCATACACAGAGTGGCATACATGGGCATGGACATGTACGCACGGACACACTCAGATGTGCACATTCATGGATACAGGACGCACGCACACAAGCATAGACTCACCAAGACCAGCACATGTATGCACAGACACACAAGGCTGTCACACTCACATGCTTACAGCATGCTACACACTCCCCAATGGCAGATGCGCACAGACACAAACACACACTGCTGACAGATAGTCACACCCCTCCACAGGTGCACAGCAGAGCTCCTGTTCTAAACAGGGGCGCTAGTGATCTGACTAGAGGCAGTCTCGGTGTAAGTCGCTCTGCGGCAGCCCTTTCAGGAGCTGGAGTATGATCTAAGCCCACCTGCCTGCCTATTAACCACAGGATTAAGCACTGCTGTTCCCTATCCCGCCCCATTCCCTCTTCCAGCTCCGTCTAACATCGTCCCCCTGGGGAAGCCGCCATCTTTACATGAGAATTTTTTGACCTTTTTTTCTGCTTCTTGGCCTGTAGATCCCAGGGGATTAGCAGCCAGGCCAGGCCTTAGAGCCTACTTGAACATGAGTTGTTTCAGCCACAAAGGTTCCCCCCCTGGGAACCTCTCTCGGGGACAGCTTTGGTTAATGGCTTCATCACCTCCCCTCCAATTTGTACCTCCTAATCCCCTAGAGCCTGGGCCTGAGGCCTTCAAGGGCTCTGTTTCCCACACGTCCTCCTGCCCTCCAGAAATGAGCCAAACCTGTGCTCTCTACAGTCCCCTGCGGAGAGGCTCCTCGCCTACTGAAAAGGGTGTCACTGAACTTCACCCTCTGCACTGGCTTCAGCCCAGCATTGTTCGCCAGGGCTGCGCTGGGAAGCAGTAAGAAGCTGCTGCCTCATGCACCACCTTGCAGGGGCAAGGTAATGAACTTGCAAGTATGGTCAAAGAAAACAGGAGGGCAGAGGAAATGCATCAGGCAAGTGGCGGGCTGTGAACAGCTGGGCTCTGTCTGTCTGACAGACACGCGCAGAGAGCAGGGCAGGCTCATAAAGTTCAGCACAGGCCCCACACACGCTCTCCCCCCCAGGGAGACACGAGCTAGTGACCTTGTTAAAGCAATGAGGGTTGTTTGACCTTTTGGCCACTGACCTCCTCTGCCCTCTGAGCAGTACATGGGCGGCCAGGAAGAGCCTGCACGAGGCCCAGGGCCAGGGACACGAAATCCTACCACAGTGCAAGGCAGCAGGAGCTGTTCTCCCCAAGGGCTTAAACTAGAGGGGCTGGCACATGGAGCAGGGCACAAGCAGACGGGGGCCCTTTGAGACCATGCTCAGAGATAAATGGATAGCATAAGGATAGGGTTAAACCTGCCTGATCACAGCTATACTGAATAATAGACACCCGGAAGAGCCTGGGAGCCATAAGGAGATCTGTCTTTATACACATGGTTGTTTGTTTGGGACCAAAACTTTAGGGTTTGAGTTGCAAAAAGGGGCAATTCTTAGATCCCAACCATGAGTGTGCCCTTGGGCAGATTAACCGGGGTGAGGGGGTGCACAAGAAAGAAGTGTGCTGTCCTCCCCCACTGGCAATACTCTGGGCTCACCCTTTGCCTCTACACCACTGGGAACCCAGACCCCTGCCTATCAAGTTAATGCAGGGAGCCAGAAATGGCTCTGTTACTCCATTCTTCCTACATCTGTGGCAAAGGCAGAGGGATGGGAGCAAGGTGGCTTTAAGTCACTCAGCAAGCTCCAACTGTGGGTGCATGCTGTAGAAAACTGTGTCACAGGAGAGAGGAACCCCACTGCCCATCCTCTGTTGTGTCTGGAAGGGACCTACTTCACAGTTCTGGGCTGCTCTCTTAGTGCACACAAACACAGCTCCCACGTTCAGCACTTGGCTTCCTGAAGGCCTGGGAATAGGGTGGCCAGGATCTTTGCCAAAGTGGCACTGACCTTTGGAGGTGGCGGTCCCTCACTCTGCTCCCCTCCAGTTGAGTCAGCCCTGGCAAAGAGTGGTGTCACCTCAGACAAAGTGTCTGTTTCTTCTTTACCCTGCACGTTGTGTTGCCACTTCCATTAGTGGGAAACCCAACAGCTAGGCTTTGAGTGCATTTCATGCTTGTCTTACAATGGGCAGGGGACTCCAGGGCAGGTGACCCCTGGGCCTGTGATGTCAGGGGTTGAAGAGAGCCCCCTTAACAAAAGATCAGGATTACCTCACAACCACCAACCCCCTGAGTTTTTTCCCGCTGCCTCCATGCTCACATCACCCTCTCTAGCCTCGACCTATCCCTCCGCAGTGCTCCAAGCTGCAGTATTTGAGACCATAACAGCAGAGTCCTTTTTTCTAAAAAAGGTTGTGTCAGGTCAAACCAAGACAAACCCTGGGTTTCCTCGCCCCACGTCCTCGCATCATGCCAGGGAAACACAGCATTTCAGAGCCTCCTCCTTTGTCACAATGTTTTTCTGTTCCACCAAGCAAACTGTCCAATTAGAGCAGGGCCTCTTGCTTCCATCTTTGCCGACATTTAATTAACATGCTGCTGCTGGCAGCTGCTGACAAATTCCAGAAGCATGTTGTAAAGGGTTTTTGTCTTTACCCAGCATGGAAAATGAGGGTGTCATATCCCAAGGGGACATGAATAGCTACTTTCGACTCCCCGCCTCAGGTGTGAGAATTACACAGAGAAACAGAGAAAAGACCCATCAGTACTCCCACCTCCTCTCTCCCTTTCCCCCCCGTCCTTCACACATCACCCTGGAAATTCCCTGGCACCGGCATGAATTGTCCCCGGATTCATCTCCTCACTCTGGTTTCTTCTGAGTGAGGCTGATTGAACTGGAGAAGCCCTATTAATATGGAAAAGGGCTCTGCACCCTTATGCATTGGACTCAGAGGGGCTTAGAGAAACTGTAGGAGCAAAGGGGATCAGTCCATTATAGGAGCAATGGGAATCCATAAGAAACCAGAGGAAAGGAGAAAGCCTTACTCGTGAGTATCTGAGCAGCAAACCAGGCTTCTCAGAGGGGTGAGTCAGACCCTGCCACTATCATCAATGGGGTAAGCAGACACAGGGACTCAGCCTGGAAGGACTCAAAAAGCCCTTTACACAAGGGCTCAATGTGCCATAAATATTACCACAAGGCAGGAGATGCATGAGATGTGGCCCATGAACGCTGCCAGTTTGAAGAATTTAGAAAAATGCCAGAGGTGGTGCCATGAGGTGCTGCAGGAGCCTGCCTGTCAGAGCTAGGCACATATGACCTTTGTGTACAGGCAGGTATTGGGATTACACATGCAACCAATGCCCAGCCACGCATCGAACCAGGCAGTCACTTGTCACTGCATCCACACTGTCCACAGGCCAGATTCCTTGAAGAGCTCAGGGCCAGATCTTCAAGTGCTCAGTGTTTGCAATTGTGCCCACGTGTTGAACAGCCTGGAGAGTCTGGCCAGTGGTTTCTGTGCCTTAATGGGAGCTGAGTTCTTGAGGAAATTGGACTACATGGGGGCACAGTGCCAAGCAGCTGGGCTGTGCTGCTTCCCAGGTACAACAGAGTTCTGAGCCTTTGGTGTTCTCCGTGTGTGACAGTGTCTGAAACTGTTTTGAAGCAAGTTGGCAGAGGCCTAATCCCCAGAGGTGTGGGGCACCAGTGCTGCCCCGGAGTTCATGGAGGGCTGGAGGTCACTGGCTGAGAAACCTGCCTCTGTCTTTCTAAAGGATCGCAGCATAGACGGTGCTGGGCGCATGGACCAACCAGCTTCCCCTGAGAATCCTCTCGCCCAGGATCTCCCCAGCTCCGGGTCACTCTGGAGCGTCCTAGCTCCTTGACCTCAATACAGAGCCCTGAGGAGCTGTATACATGCTTAGCCCCTGAGTGGCCTGGGTAGGAGAGCAAGTTAATCAAGTGATCCTGTTTGAAATCTTGTTTTGTGGCGAATCTGCCTGTCTCCCCAAGTCACCCAGAATGGCTCCTTCTGAATCACTCCTGAGGAAAAGGGCACTGGCCTGACACTCCCTGGTCATTAAATAATGGGGCACAGTGCTGAGAAGAATAGCATTGACTTGTTTTATTCACATCTCCAAGAAAAAAGAACTTGGAGAGAGAAGGGCAGCCACACTCTAGGTCCTGGTCACTAGGGTGAGAAGTCAACCA